CTTAACAACCCCATACGACAGAGCAGAACTGTCCCTGTGGGTTCCCCATGCCCAACACCTCAGCTTTCTCACACAAAGCGCTGGGCAGCAGCCCAAGGCATACGTACCTACACGCCACCAGCCTTTCCCTTTTTTTAACAATCATTTTATTGGGGGCTCTTACAGCTCTTATATAACAACCCATACATCAATTGTATCAAGCATATTTGTACATATGTTGCCATCACTGTTTTATAAACATTTAGTTTCTACTTAAGCCCTTGATATCAGCTCCTCATTCCCCTCCTCACTCCCCCGTCATGCCTTTGACTATAGTTGAGCTACTTAAAATAAGGCAGAAAGGGCTGGGGGCTGGTTTGTACTACTGAGAACACTCCAAGGAACTTAATAAATACTGTCATTTTTCTAAAGGAGAGATTATAGGGGCGGGGGGTGGGGAGCAAAAGGCCCTTCGGCCTGAGGCTTCCTAAGTGATGAAACCTTAACTATGTTTACCATTTCCTTCAGAGATAAATTTCTATCACATCTTATAAATTATAACATCACAATTAAAAGGAGAGGAGATGAGGAAATGTTCCTGTATACTGAGATGGCCTTTTTTGAATCAGCAATCTCATTTCAGTAACAGGCGATATAAGTGCCTCTGAGGAACTAAAATGTAAATCTGACAATGCATTTTAATTACATTTGGTTATTAAAGAATAGTCTTTAATTTGCTCTTTCTACCCTTTATGTCGAAGAAACGGCTTATCTGTGCCAAATTTTCACTTCGCGCAAGAACTTAACTCAACTCCGTGTACAGCTTTCCTGTCATTAGAGTCACTGGAAGGCACAGCTACACCTAAAACTAAAGGTTAAAGCCAAATTAAAACTAAAGGTTACAGGAAAGCACTAAGCGATTCTCTGTCAATTTATGGATGAATTATTTATCTAGCTGTTTCCTTCCTAAATAAGGGCCGAGCTTGCTCCTTCAGCTTTTTTAAACAGCATCATGCAAGGTGTTTAATCTTACAGAAGAGGTGCGTCCGAGGGCAGTGGACTGTAGCTCCACAAAGGCTTGCCCACTGGGCCCAGCATTTAGACAACTAGAAATCAATGTGCATCCGCTTGGGGCAACAGCTCCTTAGACATGAGGATGGTGACACGTCCCCAGGAGAGACCAATTGCTGGTGAAGGACACCGTGCTTGATAAAGCCAGAGGAGAGGAGGGAGGCCCTCAGTGCGATGGGTTGGCACATTGGCTGCAACTAGGAGCTTGACCACAGCAACAGTGTAAGGATGGCGCAGGACCTGGCTGTGACACAGCGGCTGCTCTGCGCCAGAGCAGACTTGAGGGCGCCGAGTAACAAGAGATTTGCACCGCACCCCCCCACCCCCGCCCCCTCACTCCTTCTTACTCATGCCTTGAGCCCTTCCACATCTCCTTCAATGGTCTTTCTCAGGCCATCTTTCCAAAACAGCAACAGGGAGTTATAGAAAAGATGCAATGCGCACCTGGCTGCACTACTTAGGAGTTTGTGAATTTAGACTAAAGAGTGCACTTCTTGGAGCTTCATATTCTCAGCCAATCCTACTCTGGGGTGTTTTTGTCAAGATTATTTATACATGTGTGTCAGTCACCTCCAGGATGCAAGTTTCCCAGCTGGCATCTGCATGAGGCGACTATCCCTGAAGCCTTTCGTGATTCTACCCTGGACACAGCTATCCAGATTCCCTGATCTGAAAAAACGCAGCAGCTTGAAATAGCATTCGGAGATGTCCCCCGCCCCCCTCCACCTGTAAATTTAGTATCAACTTAAACTAAACAACAATACTTTCAAATCTGCAAAGATGTATTGGGCACAAGCCCTCTATTGTGCAAATTTGAAAGGTAACTGAGAAAAGGTATTTTAACGCAGTACTTACTATCATAACCTGTCTGGGAAGAAGCACACCACAGTGCTGCGTGGAAGCAAGATGGCCAGATGGTGTCTCAGGGCCCAGTCCTGGAGGGTCAGCCCCACAGAGGAAGACCGTCAAACCAGACGGACTGGTGCAGTGGCTCCCCCACTGGGCTCCACATGGCATGACTGCGGGGCGCGCAGCCGGCGGTGTGTTTTCTCTTGTACACAGTCGCTGTGACTCGACAGCACCCAACAACGGCGAGTGGCATGAGCTGGCTTTAGGATAATACTCCACTCTGCTGGAGTTATATTTATTCCCATGTGAGATTACCTTTTGTCCTTGTTCCCCCACTTTGTGTATGATCACCGTATGTCCATTTCAGAGCGTCATACTCAGGACGACAGATTGATGTCCTTGAATTAGCCTGCCTACTAAAAGCCTGGGAGAGTGCAGTGCAGCATGGGGGGCTGCAAGGGACTCTTCTTTGGTTTCCATGGACACCACTGCAGCCCTAAATTCCCTACTTCTAGCCATAGTCTCCCACCTGAAGCCCTAAGGCAGGGGAAAAAATTGGGGTTTGCAGGCAAATAAAAGTCATATATCAAGTGATAAAAACCCAATTAGCAACTTAAATGCAGACGAGTGATTAAAACAAACACATCAAAAACTATAGCTGAACCTGTTGCTGTCGAATCCACTAGCGCTCAGAGCAACTCTTGAGCGCTTGAAGTCAACTGCTCCCGAGAGCTCTCCCGGCTGCTTTTACAGGACAGACCCACTAGCCTGCCTTCCTGGAGCTGAGCGCGAGGGCAAACCACCCCACCCCACCTCCGGGAAACAGGTTGGTTCTGACTCAGAGAGAGCCAGTCAACAGCAGCACAAACGGCCTCGCCCCCGCTGCACCGCTGCTCTGTGTTTAAGTCCATGGTTGCAGGCGCTGTATCATTCCTTCTTGCCGAGGGTCCTGCCCTCTGACCGATATCCTTCTCCAGGAGTTGGTCCCTCCCGACAAGACGGCTGAAGGATGTGCCAAGTGTCACCGTCCTCACATCTAAGACGCGTCATGGCCGTACTCCTTCCTAGGCAGGGCTGTTCACTTTCTGGTCGTACATGGCATGTTCGGTATTTTTCACCAACACCAAAATCCAAATGCCTCAAGTCTTCTATGATGTTCCTCACTCATTACCCAGTTTTCACATACACCAAAGGCAATTTAAAGGCAGCATGGCTCAGGTCAGGTGCACCTTAGCCCTCAACGTGACAGCCTTGTTTTTTAACATGTCGAGGCGAAGCATCGGTAGCTGGAGGGAGACACAGCCTCAAGGAAAAGAAAAACAACTCCGAGATCACGTGATCGACCTCTGCAAGACCAAAAACCCCTTTACTGGGAAACAACCAAGCTGCAAAAATTAGGGGGGGGGGGTTCCATCTTTTCATTTCATTTTTCCACAAAATTTTGGAAGCTCCCTCATACCTTTCAGTAACATAACTGGCAACTGTTGTGGATTGGGTTGTGTCTCCACCCCCACCCAGTGGGGCTACTTTACTCGGTGGCTTGGCAGTTGCATCATGATATGATCATCTAATCCACGGTACGGGGATTAGGGTGGGATGCAACACCTTCCTGAGGGCACAACCCTGCAGTGTGGTCGGCATCACTGCCTTTCATTTTCCTAATTATACAAGAGAGACAAGCAGAGGAAGGACCTAGAAGGACCAAGAAAGAAGAAAGCTGAGAGCAGCACATGTCCTTTGGACCCGGGGTCGCTGTGATGAGGCCTCCTCGAGCAAAGGGCGGGGTGATGCCAAGACACAGGGAGATTCCAAGGGGCATGGAGCCCACAGATGTTGAAGGAGACAAGGACCCCCATCCAGAGCGACACGGGGAGAAAGTGGGTGAATCCAGACATCCAGCTTCCTAAACTGTGACATAATAACCCGGCTTGTTAAAGTCCTTCACTTGCGTATTTCTGTACAGCAGCACTAGGTAACTCAGACAGTGACTATACCTGTAGACTTTGCCAAACGGAATGCATAGGAGTAAGACAGACTGTATCTGTGGAGAGAGACGATGGAGAAGTTCAGTTTCATCAGTCAGAACAGGGCCAAGGGCTCACTGTAGAACAGACCATCCGATGCAGGCTGAAGGAAGCCCACACACATATATAAAAACATGATACAGACGGAAAAGTTCTGGAGTTGGTTCAACATAATGCTAAGATCAACACAGAAAAAATGCACATGATGATGTGTTCTTTTAGAAGAGCTTCGGACTTATTCTTGAGTAATGTGGAAGATGAACTGTTCAACTCAAAAAGCCAAACTCACTGTCATCGTGGATTCAGACTCATAGTGATGCTATAGGAACAGGGGTTCCGAGACGCGACTCTTTCCCGGGAGAGGAAAGCCCCACTCGGCCGGAGTGGCAAATGATTCCCACTGCTCCCTGGGGCCCGCAGCCCTGTGCGTAACCACTGCACCACCAGGGCTACTGCAAGATGAATTGTTAGAGGAGTAAAAAGTTTAGTTGCCTTTTTTTTTTTTTAAATCAGAGGAATTCACAGAGTACATGTCAAGAGATCAGAGCAAAGGGGCTCATCAGAGTCAGGCAAACAAAGTGGACCGAGAACCTTGAAAGCCAAGATAAGAAAACTCTTAGAGCAGATGTCAACAACCTTTTTCGGTAAATAATTTATGGCTGGCTTTGCAGGTCAGGGGGGTTCTATCCTCACTACTCAATCCTGCCATTGTGGCTCGAAAGCGGCACAGGCACTACGTGGCAAGTGCTCGTGGCTGGGTTCCAGTAAAGCTTGACCTATGGGCACTGGGATTTCAATGTCACATCCTTTTCACACGTCACAAAATATTACACATTTACATTTTAAAGTGTGAAAGTAAATGTTAATTCTTGGTTTATGGGCCAATAAAAAAGGCTAGTGGTTACAATTTAGCCTGTGAGCTATAGTTTATTTTAGATTCCTAACATGGAATGGTTAAAGATATTTGAGATGCTTTTAACTAATAAGGAAGGAGCCGAGGAGAATGAGGGATGGAGACGTGAAGGATTTCAACTTCCTAGAGGAAGCAATCATGATTTCTTTATATAATAAGGATAGAGGTATTGGTGAAAGACAACTCCAAGATTGTAAGTCTGAGGGTTAGAAGATGGGGACCCTGACAGAACGACAGCAATGAGGCCGTAAGGAGGGGCGGTCATGCATTAGAGAGGACGTGCGTGTATTAACTGACGGCAAGAACTCTTAAGGGGAATATCCGGAGATCAACTGACTAGGACTGAAAACCGAGGGCAAGAGGAAGGTCAGTCCTGGAATACAGATTTGGGAATCTTTGGATAAAGGGTTATCCTTGAAACGGAGTGTGTGAATAAGCTTGGCCCAGACATAAGTGCGAAGAGAAAGACAAGGCCAAGGACTGGACCTCCAGCAGAGCCATAGTTCCAGACCAAAGAAGAAGGTTCATTAAAAGAGAAACTTTAGGAGGAAAACAGTGGTTATGGAAACCAAAGTACAGAGTGTCGAAAAAGTGGACTTAATCAACTGTGACAAGTACAGCAGGGTGGTTAAAAAGTTGTAAATTAAGGAAAGACATTTTATTTGTCTGCGACGGTATTGCTATCGATGACCAGAGAGACGTTTTTTGTGGTAGACGAAATATTATGCAGTAGATTGGTGAGAAACACACAAGACATAAAGCCACGTCTTTTGGAATTTAGTTAGCCAAAGGAGACATGAAATAAGTCAGAAGTGGCTTTAGGGTTAAAACATCTTCATGACACAGAAAGTGTCGATGTACAATGTATTTAAAAAGCAGAAGGTAAAAAAAAAAAAGGGAAAGGTCAGCGAAGAATAAAAGATGGAAAGAGAATAAAAGATGGAAGACCTTAGAGAAGGATGTTAGTTTTCTTCCAGCGAAGATCTTCCCAATGTGAACAAGCAGCTCCTCCTTCTCTCGAGGCTGCAGTGAAGAACATGTCTGCAGGGCAAAGACTGGCTGGAATGAAGACAGGAAGACAAAGCTGTATATTTATAAAGGCCCCTTTTTACTTTGGGGATATTTCCCCCCCTCAGAATAAGTAAACTAGCTATTACAGCGTCAATGTCAAGGGCATGAATGGATGTATTATCTGTTGTTTGAGCCTGTTAAATTCTGCATTTCTATCCCTGCCATCTGGAAAACAACGGCGTGGTGGTGACATCTATCTCTGACTTCACAAGGAGGCAGGAGAATCAAGACCAAGGCCCCACTTGGATTCCCATGAGGCAGAAGTCAGACACGTACCTCAGCCCTCCAGCCCTTTCCCCAGTTCTGACACCAAGCCTCCCTCCCACGGCCTGCCCTCCCTTCTGCTAGCTTTGATCATTCGTTGCAATGGTGGCACAGAACTCACAATCCTCACAATTACGGGGTTCATCAGGGAAACAACAGGCATCACTTGGTATCGGGATCAACTTGTGAGTCACAGGAACAACACTGAAGGAGCTCATGGACTGCGATAGCTTCAGAATTCTCCCCCTCTGCTACTGGGGAGGCCCTGCTGTGGACTTTCTTGGGTAAGTGTTACAACTCTTAGGCCCAACGTTGACAATAGCCCCACCACAGCCATCTCACTGGGGTCTTACTGGTTCCTGCCATCTTGCGCTGGTTTCCCTCCTGCTGTACTGCCAACTCTTGCTGTCTTCCACTTTCCACCTCCCTCTCTGGCTCCTGAGTCCGGGAGGCTCTTGGCTCAGAGACCGGAGGCCCACTTCTAGTTCTTTTCCTGAGTATAGTGAGTGAGGTTCCCCCTTTCTGCCTTCAGGATGGTTCATTTTAAGCCCAGCAAACAAACAAAACCCAAACTCTGCCCTCAAGTCAATGGTGACTCATAGTGAATCCCTGTGGGTTTCCATGACTTTGTAACTGTGTATGGGAGTAGAAAGTCTACTTTCTAGCTGCTGGTGGTTTTGAACTACCAACCATGCAGATTTACAGCCCAACGTGAAGCCACTACATCAGGCTCCTTTAATCCTAGTAGGATGGTAAAACTGACCAATCCTCATTTACAAGTCATACATAGTCACACCCACACAAGGGTCCCAAGCACCTTAAGTGCATCCTTAACAAGCTTCATAAGCCACGCATACCTCACCTGCGTTATGCCCCCCTACCCCCCATTTGGTGGGAGTTACAAAACCATCTTAAGAAAGGCCATGTAAAAGCAATCTCTTGTACCACACACACATCTCAGGCTTAATACAATTACTTCTCTTCCATCTTAATACAATTTTGCTTCTTCTCCATCCCTACCAGAAGGTTCTCCAGACAACTTATCTCTGCTAACATGATTAACATAACCAAGTTTTAATCTGCTTTTTAAATTTTACCCGCCCCCCTCAAATATCTCTAATAATTCCGGAAGCAATCCATGGGATGTTTGGCAAAGCAAGGGTTAACATGAGTAAATTACCAGCTAGTGTCTACTCTATACCATTAATCATGTCAACTTTTGCTATGCCAGATTGCTAGTCTATTTTAAAGCCAAGAGTTCATATTTTGTTGAAGAGAAATATATACATATATATATATATACATACACATATAAACTCTGATGGACCATTATAGAATAATACATTTGTCTTTTGCAAAATGCCATCAACTTCCTGATCTTCAGCCTTCAGAGTTGCCAGTCACAATATGACCATCGACATTGAACTTTGCTTTCCATGTTCAGTGTTTGTTTCAGTACTGGTCTCATTTGAAAGGCTCATATGAAAATGAGCCCAGAATATACTCTTCAGTAAGTTTTAAATTTTTTTCTTAAATATACTTAGATGAAAAGAAACTCATCTCCTTTAGACAGGCAGTTTAGTTCAGGGTGAGACTGTCCATAATCTTAACTCTCCCTCTCCTCCCAAGTCACGTGTATTTTTGCTAGAACTAAATATATCATACTCTTGGCAGCTCCCTCGCTTGCTTCTTCCCATTCTGGGTTTGCATTTTCTGCATGACTGAGTTCACCTCCAAACTATGGGAAATAAAAACTTTTTTTCTTTTTGCACTATTGAATAGATGTGTATGATATATGTCATCACTCAGATGATACATGTTTTCATAATGGGCCCTTAACTCACTCAGGCAGGGTCAGGACAGTGATGGACTTCTTTATAAATGCGATTACTGGAAGCATGACAATTCATGCCAGAATCTTCATTTTAAGGAAATAAAAAAGGAAAATGGCCACCAAGAGCTGCTGAGGCGCAGGCGGGTGAAGGTACAAAATGGCTCACCAGTTAGGTTCTCCCCAAAACCTGTTTCTACCAGGAATGAGTATCACACAAGACCGGGTAAGCAAATACCGGAACAGGCTATTTGCCTACATTTTGAAAGAGTGATTGGTCCAAGGATCTGAAAAACGAAACAAAAACGAAATCCTCATTTTGGGTGGAGAAAGGGAACGGTGGACTCGGACAAAACGAGATCGTCAACAAACAGATTCCAAAACTCCAAGTACTTGTCTAAATGTAGGTGCGTTTTCAGCCGCGGGTAGCATCGTCCTTTTTGTTCACATTTGCGAAGCGACAACGCCTTGGTAATATTAAATTTCTGATTTAAGATTTAAGCACATGTATGTGCCTGACACAAAGGGGCTCTTGGTGCTTTTCCGGTGAAAATCAAAACCTTGCTCCCAGAACTTCATCATGTGCCCAGCAAGCCCTCAGTAAACGTGGGTTAAATCTTAAAGTCAGCGATGACTAGGTGGGCACCAGGAACCGCCGGAGCGTTTCCCAAAGGGCGGTGAGACGAAGCCACCGAGCGCGGACAGCTCCGCCGCGGAAGCGCAGGGCTCGGCCGGGAGGCAGCGGGGACACCGCAACCCACCCCTCCGCCAGGCCACGGTGCGTCCTGGGGGCCCGGGGGAGGGCCAGGAGCGGAGCGCCCCGAGAGGCGGCCGAGGGCACTCGGCGCCATCGATTCCGATAGGGGGCGGAGTAGGAAGCGCCCGGTGGCTTCCCGCGCTTGTGAATCTTTACATCTTCCTCCCCGAACCGACCGAGGGTTAGCTAGCCCACAGAGCTCCTCCTAGGACCTCAAGAACTGAGGCGAAGAGTGGCTTGGGAAGCCCGCGCGGCGTCCCTGCGTGTGTGCCCCGCGCAGCCGCGCCCGCGGACCCGGCGAAGCGGAAGCGTGCTGGCGAATGGCCGAGGGAGCCCGCGACGCCCGCCCGTGTACTAGGCCTGCGCGCGCACTCGGAAAGGCACCGCCCCTACCCCGCCCACGGCTCTCTAGCTCCCGGTGATTGGCTCCTGGGCGACAGGCTAGAAAAGCCAAGGATGCTATTGGCTGAATTTCAGTCACTCAATAAGCAAGGGAGGGGCGGGGCCTCTTCAGGGCGGGACACGGCTGTGAGGCATTTTCAAGGCCTTCAGACGCCATCTTGGCTTTTTTGTTTACCAGCCTTTGTCCCCCGATGCTCACAAAGCCTTGTGTACATGTTCTAAGTACCGCGGGCACAGGCCGGGTCCACTCACTCGGTGGCGGAGGGGTTTGGTTCCTGCTGGCCTTGGTGACAGGTCTTCCAGACATCACCGGCAAAGAGGCAGTTCTCAAAGTTTGGCGTCTCGAGGGATCCCGCGGATTCCCAAGAAAGCCAAGCCAGTGTAGGGAGGCTAAGCCAACGGTAGATTCGTGCGAGGAAACCCTCGCTTGGAAAGCACCTCCGAGCAGGGAAAGTGGATAATTTGATCCCAAAATCAAATAACCCAGAAAGTCAAGGGCTTAGGATGCATTCCGCTCGGGTGGAGCGCTCCTCTTTTCTGAGAAGGGTAAAAAGTGAGGTTAAAAAATCTATATTCGCAGGGACCTGCCGTGAGGAAGGAAATAACTGGGGTAAACCCCCTTTGAAATTCTCATCACCACCGTCATTACACAGTGACTAGGCTCTGACTAGATTTCAAGTTAATCGGGATCTAAACTTGTGAAATGACCCACCTCAGAGGTGAAGCAGTAAGCATTGATCTGACTGGCACTGACATTGTGCCCTGCCAGCCGGGAACACACATCCGTGTTCATCCGTGTTCCCAATGAGGGTCTGGAGCAGCAGGCAGGGGGATACCCCTCGTGTGACACAGGAGGCTGCCTGGTGTCCTCCACCGAGACACGTGGGAAAAATGCTTTTCATCCCCAAAATGCAACCCGATAGTCAAAATGCCTGTCACCCGTCTCCCACTACTTTGCCTCTGAGTCCTCAGCTCCCCTTTGACCCCCATCACCACCCACGTGAGCGGTTTTTGAGAACAGGCCTTGACTGGTTTGTTTTCTTGATAAGTTGCCAGCTCTGAAGCTTTGCAAACAAACCCCAACCTGCAAACGCCTATTCTGTTAAGTCGAGAGAATTTTCATTCAGGACACACTAACCACACATAAAGGCCAAAATATACACAGCTGTACATTTAAGAACGTGAGACATTAAAAAGTAAAACCACTTATGCAAAACAATCACTAAAGAATGCTTTGAACCACAGACTCAATAACTTGCCCACTCTCAATTGCCACATGGACCATATACTCCCTGGCAATTATTTAATTATTCACTAATCAGATCCTTTAGAGGAGGAGCAGAAAACAAAATATGCACACAGAACAGAAGTGTCGGTCTGCGAAGCATAGGGTCTCGTATAAGCCTGTCCTTCAGACACGAAATCCTGTTTGGATCACATTTGGGAACACATCAAAATCACATCCTATTACTTTGCACACACATAAGACCAAAATCTGCTACGGCACATATACACATACTGTACATACACACAAAGAACAAAACCCCAAGCTAACCCTTTCCAAAGCACTGGCTTCAAAAAACACAAACAGAAATGTCCTTGTGAGGATGCGCGTGCAAGGCACAGGAAGACCGAAAAGGCTTTTTCCCCCTCCCCAGGGAAGTAAGTGTCTCGATTATAAAATCCTAATGTTTTTAACCTATTGGCCTTGGGCAGCGGCCACACGCAAGCCGCTTGGTTTTGGTTCTGAAGGAGGGGGTGTAAAACGCACCCAAACAGCTTTGTGAAGGAGCCGCAAACCTCTTTCATTTCGGAGACAACGCTGCCCGTGGCAAAAAAATTTACATTATCCCTTCACCCCACTTTCAAAAAAAAGAAAAACTACTTTCCAAACAGCTGCATTTTAAAAATCCCTCAACCACAAAAATTTACCAGTTCTCAAAATGGGATAGCTTAAAGGGAAAAAAAAAACTCTATACATTTGACGGGAAACAATTGTACACGGCCATCGCGCGTCTCAACTTCTTGGTATATTTGAAAACCATGACCAGGAAAAAGAGAGAGGAAGAGAGACGACAGAGAAAGAAACGGGGGCGAGAGCACATTCCCCTTAGCAACAGTTTCCTCACCCCGACACTGCCACAGATCTCTGTTTTTCTTTTTTCCCCTTTACATTTGAACACACACACAAGATTAAGCAGGGGAAAAAATGGAAAAGGATACCCGAAGGTCGTATGGCTCTTTGTATTCGTGTGTGTGCAAAAAGGAGGACTCGCGGAGCCGGAGCCTGCAAGCCCCGCCCCTCGGCGGGCGCCCG